TTCAATCCCCATCGTTCTCATCGCCTAGAAACCAGTTAATCTCTCTCCCAATAACTGCTTCCATGGCCAAACACTCCAAAAATCTCTTTGCCTTCACTAGGAAAAGTACTTGTTCCAGAGGAAAACCCTCTTCTCAACCTTCTGAATAAGTAGACCTAGGGTTCGGCCACTCAGAAGGTTTCGCCTCTTCTCAGGCAGAAATTTCAGATCACTCTCATCACTTAGGATAAAAAGCCCTAGGAAAAGGCCTTTAGAAGACCCTCCTGAATCCTTTACACCGAAGAATCCAAAATATGATCTTTTAAGTTCCTTAGAATCTGACCTCAATTTCTGGGACACTCCTAATAGGGATTTCTTCGTTGCTTTGAAAGACAAGCCAATCGCTCATGGCAGAGTAGTCGACCTTGATGACTTGGAAGCTCTAAATTGTAAGGTAAAGAATTTGTCTCTATATGTTCCCCCTCCTTAAGTCTATGAACCCTTGGTAAGAATGTTCTATGCAAATCTTTGTTCTAGCAAATCTGACAAGTTGGAATCCCTAAACTTAGGTAAACACATTGTTTTGATTGTGCTGTGTTCGACTCAATTTTTCAATGTAAATGCTCTGGTTTTCCAATGCTTTTCAAAAACTCTTGGCCTGATGATTTTGAAATCTCCTTTGATCAAGCGAAATGTTGTATTTCTGAGTTTCCATCCGAATTCCTCCCTAATCAGTTAGGTCCCAGTGATGTTAGCTTTGAAACCCGAGTTCTAGCTCACATTGTTGCAACTACTTTGCTTCCTCGTACTGGATCTTTCTCCACCTTCTCTCAAAGAGATACCTTTCTTGTTTACTGTCTTGTGACCACACTCAAGGTCAAATTATCCTCTTGGGTCATAAACTTCATGATAGAAAGTGCTGATGACCCACCAATTTGCCTTATGGTATGGCTATCACTCACATCCTAGAAGCTCATAACATCTCTATCTCAGAATACCCCTTCGTCTCTGTTTCAAAATCCTACAATTCTAGGGCATTTGCTAGTATGGGATATATGTGTATAAAGGGCTCCTGGGTTAAGAAACAGGAAGGTGAAATCAAGCATGTTCAATCTGATCCCAAGACCAAAGCCTCTGCTTCCCATCACAATGTAAGTGATCCTGATCTTGCTAAGAAACTGACTGCCATTATCAAGCTACTGACCATCATCAAGGAGCTCCTTGCTACCACTCAGTCTACTGTTGGGATATCCATGTAATCTGCAAGGAGACATGGTCTGATGTTTCAAAGATAAGAATTGCAATTCTTAGACTTAGAGAAAACACAGTCAAAGTTTTCAAGGAAGTACACGACACGATTGATAGAGTGATAGTTTTAGCCAATGCCATCTTTGAACAATTGCAGGAGGCGATTTGCAACACTCTTACTTACTTCTTGCGTTGTTAGTGTGGAAGTTTCAAATAATTTTTTGTGTTTTGCTTTTTTGGACTGGATAACCAATCGTTAGATTTTTTTTGCTTTATTTTGCATAACTCTGCATGCCTACAAAATTTCCCTTAGTATCTATAATGTGCTTGTTTTTATCCCCTCTTTGCTGATGTCAAAAAAAGAGAGAAAGGCTATACATATTTTGCAGGTACAAGGTTGGAGTCAACTGAACTCTGTCGTACTCATTGAGGGGGAGTCTCATTGAGGGGAGTCGAATGCATTTTATTGCACTCATTTAGGGAGAGTCGACAACAGGGAAGTCAACTGTTGTATATATATATATATATATATATATATATATATAATATATATTATTTTTGTCATCATCAAAAAGGGGGGATTGTTAGGTATAAGTTTCAATGATAAACAATAATATATTATAATTGATGTAGGATCACATGGACTCAAGGAAACAAAGAAACAACACTGGTCAGAAATAGATCAAACAACACGACTTAATGATCTACGATGCAAAAAGGAAGATGTAGTAAAGATCCGGCAAGAATAAAATCAATTGAAGATTGACGAAAGCCAACAAGGAAAAGAATCAATGATCAACAAGAAAGAAGTAGCGAAAATATGGCAAGAGAAATCAATCAGAGATTGATGGAAGTTATTACTGGAAGGTCACGAAATCAAAGAAAATCAAGATCATTGGAAATCAATGAAGGCATAAATCAAGGGATCCAGCAGATATGCCTAACGGATGGAAAGTCGTCAAAGCCATTAATCAAGAAAGATCAACGAGAACTTGACTTTATTCTTGGAAAGAATCAATCTATGATTCCTTTCAGGGATCAATCCCTTGGGTTTGTAATCTCTCAAGACTCGCGAAGGCCTCATATATATACAGATGCTCCTGACATAATTTCATATACTTTGATCGAACCATCTACTCTCTTTTTGTTCTAATCTAAACAAGCATTATAGTTTCATTAGATCTGTTGTGTAACTAGTAAGAGAAGAAAAAGAGATAAACACGGGTGAGGCATTGCATCAAGAAAAGAAGAGAGACATAGAGACTAAGCTATTGGTGTAAAGCTACGCCATTCATTTTGTACTCAAGAAACATCGATCACTGAAAAAGAACACCCTTGCAACCCAAGGGGACTCGACTAGGATTCACACTGAATTCGAACCAGTATAAAAATTCTAGTGTCTTTAATTCCTGCACTTTATTCCTACATTTATTATTATATACTATTCTTCTTTCAAGTCGACTAAATGATAAACTAGTCAACTACTTATAAAAGTTTTTAAAAATAAGCAATTCAACTCCCCCTTCCCCTTTGTACTTTCACTTACGACCCCTAATTGAATGGGATAGGTGCGAAGAAAAAGTAGGGGAGGGAGTAAAATGGGATAGGTGCGATGAGGTGGCATGCCACGTGGCATCCACCTCAACGATATGTCAGGCCATGGGATAATTTTGTCATGGTGGAGGGTCCTAACGGTAGAGGGTATTTTTGCATCAGTTTTATGAGGGGCTATGGTGGACCAATAGTATAATGGGGTATAAGTGAACATTTTCGAATAGTAGAGGGACATATTTGACCCTTTTCCGTAGAAAGAAAGAATGTCTATTTTTTAATAATAGAAATATTTTAGAACTTTGAATTAAGCTATTCAATTCTTCGAATTGGTAAATAATATTTTTATAATAAGATTTAAGCTAACAGGTTATAAATACGTGACTACTAACATCTTATTAACTTGAATTTTCTTACCAATATAAATATTAATATTTCATATTATATTTTGTAAGATAACTACATTACATACAAAAAGAAAGAAAAAGAGAAATCACTATAAATATTAATATTATATTTTGTAAGATAACTAAATTATAAACAAAAAGAACAAAAAAAGACTCTTATTAAAATTTGACTTGCTGCCACGGTTTTATTGAGACGTACTGAAATTAGAATACTTCTCCACAACTACAAAAAAATTAGAACTGTTGATGAGGGAATTTTTGAGGCTGAAGTTGTAGTTTAAGGACTCATGGAGTTGAATTATAGCAAACTCATAGGTATTTGTACGGTTCTTAAAATATTTGGATACGCACATAAAACGCAAAATAGAATCTATAGGAAGTCGAAGATGTACTTCCTCAAGAGGTTGAGAGATGGAGTCTGCAATTGCAGTGTAGAGCGTAGGTTTGGTCTATTATGGTAGCAAAAGTAAATAGAACCCTAAGTTGAATGCATATTGGGAGTTCTAGTGCGCTGAATGTTAGGGGTTTTTGTGGGCCAACAATTTTAAAAAAGATTTTGCTGATTAGTTAAAGGAAGAAGTTAGTAATAATTACCTTTTTCTATCACTACTCAAATTTTAGCATCTTTTGACATGGATATTTTTTGAGGAATATATACTTTTAGCCGCTATAAAAATAATAGCGAACAAAATATAAATTTTTTAATATGTTTTTTGGCTAGTGAATGCAATTAATTCTGATTGACCGACAATTTTGTATTTTGCACAATTTTATATTTTGCACAAAAAGTTTGGAAATACCCCCAACATTAAAACACGAAACAACAAAGTTTTGACAAGTGAAACCCAATATATTAGGTTAAAGTTCAAAAATCAACTAATGTGAACTCCACCACCGATATTTGGAGTTCAGACCTTTTAAAGTTAGAACTCCAGCATTATGGGATTTAATCTAATAAATGTTCAAACTCCTTTAGTCATTCGTGTCCCCTAGCAGTTCTTCCGTGAAATTTTATTTTCGTGGCTATTTCCTTATTACATTTCAAATAGTGGCTAAAAACTCATAGTAGGCCCAATATATGACCATCCCACCCAATTTTTTCTTTTTAAAAGTGGTTTATTATGAATATTTTTAGGGAAAACTGGTATGGGCATAAAGCTTATAGGACTAAGATGCACCTCCTTAAGCGGAATGGAGCAAAAAGTTGTTTACTAAATGATAGGGGACCTTTTCAAGAAGTATTACTGTAAGCAAGCTTCTTACCCCTTTCAATATAAAGCAAGGTGTAAGCAAACATCTCTCCAATCATATTTATGGAGATTTTTATGTGTTAAAACTACTTCATTATATCTTAATCTGTTTTCTTTTTCTTTTTTTTTGGTTCTCTCGATATTCGATACTCGTTTTAGGGCCGATTAAGTCTAATTCGCACGAGGGATCCTATTTTAGGGTAAAATATTCCTTAACAAAGGCAACTTTATTCCCAAAGTTCGAACCGAGCCTTCTGGTTGAGAATGAATGATACTTACCATCCCGCTTCAACCTGTAGTGGTAAATCTATTTTCAATTTAACTAGCATTTGCCTGTAATCCAAGTGTCCTCCACTAGCTAAAACGTAATGATTCATTACCTTGTGAGTTTGCTTTCACCTTGAAGGACATAATTTTATCAGTTACATCCTGCCCTACTTGATGGATGAGTGTGCTGCTTCTGGGTCTTTTGGTTCTTGCAGTCATCAACTGCAGGCAATCATTCATGAAGCTGAAACTGCAAAGGGATTAGGGGATAAATCTTCGGAAAGATACTGCCATGAGCTTCCAAAGAATTAAAGTTCCCACGACTCTCTGTAACTACAACTGGTTAAGCTACATTGATACATTGATATTGTGAATACTTTACATTATCCGTATACACAAACTTAAATCATAAAAGATATGACATGCTTATCCTCTTGAGATAATTAAAAAAAAAAGATATTTTGATATTGGTTTACATGAAATTGTGTGCTTCATTGCAGAGGCAAGAAGTGAAGAAAGATCAAATTTCTCCCGGTTCTTCATTCTTTGCTGCCAACTTCCCTAATTCATCCAGCTTACCCTCCGGACAATAAATTCAACGAAATAACCTTGAGTGCAGTGTGAGGCCACAACATCCCATAAAGCTATTTCAAGAAAAAGAAACTTGACATCGACATGTAGATGGCCACGAGCATTCGAATCACAAACCGTTGGGTAAGTACATGTGTGCAGGTTTTGTTGGCTTTTAGCTGTTCATACCGGAACAGTTGTCCCACCTGGTATTTCTGATTACCTTTGCGAGAAGTATGGGTGTTTTAGAGCCTCATCGACACTAGGTCGATCTTCCTGAAATGACGATGCAGTTAACAGACTACAGAGTCAGATACTAATTTCATCTGTCAATTAACAAGGAGAAATGCCAAATAGACAACAGATGCATCACATGTAAATTTTAGGCGTTAGACTATTTGAAGACAGAGCTTACAGGATTCCATTGTAATAATTCACGTACTAGTCGCAACGCCCATATGTTTGGGAACCTGCAGCAATAAAAACTATTCTCAGTGAGCTAGCAACTTGAAACTTTGTTGCCTCGTAGTTTGTCCTTTTGATCAGGGTAAAAGGCATTTGATCAGGGTAAAAGGCATCGGGATTCTGGTAGGGAGTCCGGAGAGCAGACATGAATACAAAACCTATCTTCAGAGGATCCCAATTTTTTATTTGACGAGAAAAGAACTCTTCAGAACATTTCCATGGAGCTGGTGAAACTGAGGCCTGAATGAAGAATAAGAATTTAAATGAATGTAGATGAGCTCTAAAACACTGAAGTTAATCATTCCCAAACTCTAAAAATTATCACGGCTATAACACAGGTACACGTTTAGTGGTATACCTCAAACATTGAATAAGCTCTCAGAATAGAAGGTGGAAAGATGTGAAATGTGAATGATTCACTCCAGTAGTTAGACTAAGAAACTAATATCATAAAAAAGCAAATAAAAGTGAAAAGAGCATTTTGACAGATAAAATCTGAAAATATTGACCGACACCAGCTAGCTTTTCCAACTGCAAATGTGGAGAAGTGAGACTCTACTAATTCAGTCTACTTATCAGACAAATGATGCGTCACAAAACCATTAGGCTCAGAAATTTGGGAAAAGCATTTCACGGATTTAATGTGAAACTGAATCACAATATTCCACCACCTAATACTTCCTGTTACATGTGAGATGTTCTTTTACACCGTATAAAACTGCCAAAACTAGTAGGCTTCAGAAATGTCAGGAAAGCATTTTTCACAGGTTAGATATGAAAATGAAATACGTTTCCACCACCTAATATCTCCTGCCATAAACAGGTATAAGACAAACATCCACTTATATTGGTAAAATAAAGGGGAAAAATGAAAAAATGAGATAGAAGAATGAAGAATCAGTTGGATGACATTGAATAAATCTAATCCGTATTGGTGTAACTTGAACATAATTGCAAGAGCTTGAACTAAGGTGATCTTTAATGACGTACTGATAGCTCAATACACAACTAAAACAAACCCACTTTACAATAGTTCCAAATAAGTGTCAAAACTTTATCACATTGAAACAGACTAAGAAATACTTGTCATTACAACAACAAAAACCCCAACATAATCCCACAAGTGGGGTCTGGGGAGGGTAGATAGTCCGGAGACCTTACCCCTACAGTGAGTGTAGAGAGGTTGTTTCCAGTGGACCCTCGGCACGAGGAAAATGAGAAAAGAGCAGTAGCATCAAGCAATAAAAATACTTGTCATTGTCATTGTCAAAAATAAATCTCTCGGACAAAACCCTGGCAACACAGTGGACCAATAGATTTAGAAAGAAGACCACTCACCTGGTCATATTTTGCTCTAGTTTGATGAAGTTTTGAGGTAACTCCAGGGCTCAGAATACACATTTCCATGAAAGATCTAAGCCTGTCAAAACATATATTGCCGCTATATTTAGCAGAATGCCAACCTAACTGGAAAGAGTAAGAGCAATCCTTCAAACCAAAATTATCTTTTTCATGCTCCCATCATCAGACAGACCATGTAAATGTGTAAAGCTCCTTTCCTCTATTAATTGATACCAAGTAAAAAACCTTTCCTCTACAATGCAACGTCTAACAAGGAGTAGCACAAATTGATTAGAGCAAATCTCTATTGAAGTATCTTATATAAATTAATACGAGTGGGAAAAAATTGAAATTCAGTTGTAATAAGACTGTTGGTGATTTGTAAGGAAAAAGCCCGAAATCTTATGGGGTTTATGGATGAACTTTTCCTTACAAATACTCAATCATATACGAAGCATAATATGATGTTTTCCATTAACAGACTTAAGTACCAAGCACTCAGCACCTGCCAATTGGCTTGAGATTGTTTCAGGATGTTAGAAACCAAAGAAGTTCTATATTTCATATGTAGAAGAGAAGATTACAAGGCCTATTTATAATACTAATTCACCTAATCTATTAGTTGTCATACACCTAATTACACCTACTATACAACTCATATACATGTGGTAGCTATGATGTAGTACATGTGTATACATGTGCTACACAACTTGTATTACACCTACTATACAACTCATAGACATGTGCTAGCTATGATGTAGTACATGTGTATACATGTGCTAGACAACTTGTATGTCAACACTCCCCCTCAAGTTGGAGCATATATATTGATCATGCCCAACTTGTTACAGATATATTCAACTCGAGCTCCATTCAAAGCTTTTGTGAAAATGTCTCCCAATTGATCTCCAGTTCTAACATGACCTGTAGAGATGAGTTTTTGTTGAATCTGTTCACGAACAAAGTGACAATCTATTTCAATGTGCTTAGTCCTTTCGTGAAATACAGGATTAGAGGAGATATGAAGAGCAGCTTGATTATCACACCACAACTTTGCTGGCAATGTAGTTTGGAAGCCAACTTCACTTAATAGTTGATGTACCCATACAACCTCACACACAGATTGTGCCATAGCTCTGTATTCTGCTTCCGCACTAGATCGAGATACGACATTTTGTTTCTTACTCTTCCACGAAATCAAGTTTCCACCAACAAAAACGCAATATCCTGTCGTGGATCTCCTATCGGCTTTTGACCCTGCCCAATCTGCATCTGTGAAACACTCAATGTTAGTGTGTTCATTATTCTTATATACTAGACCCCGTCCTGGAGATCCCTTTAGATAACAAAGAATCTGCTCCAGAGCCGCGCCCAATGCCTGACTATTGGGGAAGACATAAACTGACTCACAATGCTGACAGAGCATGCGATATCGGGACGAGTTACTGTAAGATAGTTCATATTCTCAACCAATCTCCTATATTTCTCTGGATCTTCGAATAACTGACCGTCTTCTTTCACGAGTTGTGTGTTAGGAACCATTGGCATGCTGCATGGTTTAGATCCCAACTTTCCAGTTTCAGCAACAAGTCAAGAGTATATTTTCATGGAATGTGATATCGGCAGACACTAAGTACCTTTTGAGATCTAGAGAATAACATCGATAACCTTTTTGAAGACGTGAGTACCCTAAGAACACACACTTAAGGGCCTTTGGATCTAATTNGCTGCTCAGATGGTCGATCGAGGGAAACGGGTGACTGAGGAAGAGGTGTTGGAGAACTAACTGGATGTGTGACAGTGTAGACCAAAGTATCATCTTCTTCCTCATGACTGTTATAAACATATGAAGAAAAGAACGGATAATTTTCATAGAATGTGACATCGGCAGACACTAAGTACCTTTTGAGATCTGGAGAATAACACCGATAACCTTTCTGAAGACGTGGGTACCCTAAGAACACACACTTAAGGGCCTTTGGATCTAATTTAGTTACCTGTGGATGAACATCACGAACAAAACAAGTACAACCAAATATTTTGGGTTAAATAGGAAATAATGGCTTAGAGGAAAAAAGAATGTTGTAAGGAATATTACCATGAAGTACAAAAGATGGCATACGATTTATTAAAAAACAAGTTGTAGAGACGATATCAGCCCAAAAACATTTTGGCGCTTTCATTTGAAAGAGGAGTGCTCGGCCTACTTCAAGAAGATGTCTATTTTTTCGTTCTGCAACCCCATTTTGAGAAGGGGTGTCAACACAAGAAGATTGATGTAGAATACCATTTGTAGCCATATAATCTTTAAACAAATCCGAAAAATATTCTTTTGCATTGTCACTCCTTAAATTACGAACGGAAACATTAAAATGAGTTTTTATTTCAGCACAAAAAGCACAAAAAATTGAAAACAACTTCGAACGATTTTTCATTAAATATAACCAAGTAATATGAGAATGATCATCCACAATGGTAACAAAATATCTAAAACTAGTTTTAGAGATAATAGGACATGGACCCCAAACATCGGTGTGAACTAACTCAAAAGGTAAGTCGACCCGTTTATTGACTTTAGAAACTTTAGGAAGGCGATGGTGTTTAGCAAACTGACATGACTCACAATCTAAAGAGGAAATACTCTGAAACTGAGGATATAACTTCTTCAAACTAGACAAGGATAGATGACCCAATTGACAGTGTACATCAAAGGGAGACAACACAGTTGAACAAGAAATGGATTTCGACACCTGTGATTCAAGAACATAGAGACCCCCAGACTCAGAACCTTTACCAATAATCTGCTTTGTCGTAAGATCCTGAAAAAGACAATAATTGGGAAAAAATGAGACATAACAATTTAGAGTACGCGTAAGTTTACTGACAGATATTAGATTGAAAGAGAAATCAGGCAAATTTAAGACGGAACTAAGGGAAAGAGAAGATGTTGGGTTAACAGTGCCAGACCCTAAAACATATGAGGTAGACCATCGACTAAAGTAACTGTGGAACATTGGGTATGTGACTGAAAAGTGGAAAAGAGTTTAGAGTTACCTGTCATATGATCTGTGGCACCAGAATCAATGACCCATTTAGATGACGAAGAGAGGAGACACTTAGTGATTTTACCTGACTCAGGGATAGTATTGATAGGAGGAGATGATGACTGAGATGGTGAAATAGTCTCGGAAGTGGCAATGTTGGCATACTGAGATCTTTTGTTCTTATTCTGAAGCTTCACACAATAACGTATGGTATGACCGAGCTCATGATAATAAAAACATTCAACTTCCCCTTGCTTTAGGTCTCGACTATCGCTACTCCGATTGCGATTACTATGACTCTTATTCTTTTGGACGCGGCTAAGCAGAGCACCACTATCGATCGTGGCTGTCGGACCTGGATGAGACTTTTCAGTATGAACACTCTTGTAAAGGCCTCTTTTAAGGAATATATAGCAGTCCCAGATAAAATCTGCGATTTGGCCCCTTCAAATTCAGGAGAAAAACCAGAAAGGAAACTCATGACCATCAGTTGTTCACGCTGAGCCTGTTGTACCTTCACATCTGGACTAAACGACAATATAACATTAAGCTCATCATACACCTTCTTAAACTCTGAGAAGTAAGTGGTGAGAGAGCGATCTTGCATGTATGGATGGTAAAATGTCTGGCACACATCATACATACGAGACAAGTTTCCTTTGCCAGAGTACAAAAAATCTAAATAATCTATTAGATCCTTCACATAATNTAGTGCAGTGAAATTTGAACAGTTCAGTGAACAGTGATATTTGAATAGTACAGTGAACATTGAATAGTAATATTTGAATAGTGAACAATGCAGTGAACAGTGAACAATATAGTGAACAGTGCCGGAACAGTGATCTTGGAAAATGAAAGTTGTCAGGAAAAAAAAATTCTGACAGTACCACTTTGGTCGGAATAGTGAGTAGAAAAATCTGTAAAGAAGCGGCCGGGGCAAAAAATAGCCGGAAATAGTGAAATAGAATCAAAGCAGCGAAATACTGTTCTGAACAAAAATAATTCGAACGGGGAAAAAAAAAATTCCAACAACAAACTGATGAAAAAACTTCAATGCTCTGATACCATGTTAGAAACCAAAGAAGTTCTATATTTCATATCTAGAAGAGAAGATTACAAGGCCTATTTATAATACTAATTCACCTAATCTATTAGTTGTCATACACCTAATTACACCTACTATACAACTCATAAACATGTGCTAGCTATGATGTAGTACATGTGCTACACAACTTGTATTACACCTACTATACAACTCATAAACATGTGCTAGCTATGATGTAGTACATGTGTATACATGTGCTAGACAACTTGTATGTCAACACTTGATAATCAATTCCTTCTTTTTGACTAAATCCTTTTGCAACCAACCTTGATTTGAATCTTTCTATTTCTCCTGAGCCTTGTATTTTATTTTGTAAATCCACTTACATCCTATAGGAGATTTTCCTTCAGGTAGTATAACTATATCCCAAGTGTGATTGTTTTGTAAGGATTCAATTCATTTTTCATAGTCTCTATCCATCTAGGATCCTTAATTGCTTCATGATATATTGTAGGTTCAGAAATAGAAGATGAAGCAGCAATAAATGACTGATAGGTAGGAGAGATATTGTCATATGATATGAACTTAGATAATGTATAGGGCTTATCTTGATGAATGTTTAATGAAACAAAATCTTTCATCCAAAGAGGTGGTCTCTTGTCTCTACTTGATTTTCTCAATAAATTAGTCTGTTGTATATTAGTGACTTCTGAAGGTGAAATATCAGTAGTTAGCTTAGTTGACGTGTATTGTTGTAAGGCTCCATAAGTAGTGCATTGTATAGGCTCAATTATTAAACTTGAGGTTTGCTGATTTGAACCTTCCATGTTGTGAATGCCCTCAGCTTGTCCTATTTGAAAATTAGTATTCCCAGCTTCATTTGTTTGAACAATGTTATGATTCTCAATGTTGAATTGGTCGAATGTATCATCTGGTATTGACTGAAAGCTATTATTTGTGAACATAGGTAGACTTTGTCTTTGATTGAGAGTTTTGAATGAAAAACATCTTCTTTAAAGATAACATCTCTGCTAACAAAAAAGATTTTGTTATTCAAATCATAGAGTAAATATCCCGTTTGAGAAGTTGCATACCCCATATGTATAACTGCCTTGGATCTTGGCATTAATTTATCTTGTTCTTGCAATGTGTTTGCAAAATATAGGCATCATAGAACCCTAATATGTTTTAGAGAAGGCTTCTTTCCATATAACTTCTCATATGGTGACATGTTATCCAAGACAGAACTTGACATTCTATTAATCAAATAAGGTGCAGCCAACACACAGTATCCCCATAATTTTATAGGTATATGCCCTTGAAATCTAATTGCTCGTGTGACTTCTAAAAGATGTCTATGTTTTCTTTCCGCAACAACATTCTGTTGTGGCGTGTATGCTCGAGTAATCTGATGAACTATTCCAAAATTAGTAAATATTTTGTTGCAGTTTGTATTGCCAAATTCAGTACCATTGTCACTTATAGTGACTTTAATTGTTTTGTTGAACTGAGTTTTTACAAACACTATGAATTGTTGAAGAACAGTGCATACATCAGACTTGAGTTTGAGTAAAAACAACCATGTATTTCTGGAGAAATCATCTACCACGGTTAGAAAATACTTGTTGCCATCAAATGTAGGCACTTTATAGGGACCCCAAATGTCTACATGTATCAGATCAAAAGAAGCAGTAGACTTAATGCAACTAGTAGGAAAAGGCTGCCTTGTTTGTTTTGCACATGGGCATACAACATATCTATTTATTCTCTGCCTTGTTTGTTTTGGACATGGGCATACACCACATCTATTTATTCTTTCTGTTATAACCTCTACAGTAACAGGTAGTAAATTTCTAAGGACATTTGCTGATACATGTCCAAATCTTTTGTGCCACAACTCTATATCTTTTGCTGGTTTGATCTCATATGTAATTGCACCTTCAGTAGCTGCTAGAGTAATTTCACTAGAATTATTTCCTTCTGATTGACTTCTTAAAATGTACAACCCATCATTTTCTCTACTAATCACTTTCACCTTCCCAGTGAAGAGTTTCTGAAAAATGCAAAAATCAGGGAAGAAAGCTACTAAGCACCTCAATTCTTTTGTCAGTTAGATACTGAAAGAAGATTAAATTTGAACTCAGGGATAGAGAACACATTAGTTATTGTGTCTCTACTAGATATTGTACTGGCTCCAGTGTGAGTGACCTGAGTAATATTCCCATTAGGCATGAATACTCTTTTTGGATACTGAGTTTGTACTATAGTAGACTTATCCAACAAGCCTAAATCTGCTACCATATGGTTGGTAGCCCTAGTATCTATTATCCATTCTTTAAAATACTTAGTTGTACCTGCTACATTTGCACTATAAGTTTGTCCAGTATTGTTACTGTTTAGTAACTGAAGATTCTGTTCGTACTGCTCTTTGGTGAATGTATAGCTGGATAGCTGACTATTTTTTTTCCCACAAACTGATTTTCAACATCTATTAACCCAGAGAATTGTCCAAACATATCACCAGTGGCTTGACTGCTCTGCATATTGTCCTCATTTAGAACATTGTAGGCAGCTGCATTGTTGAATCTTGCATTTCCTGCATTTCCATTGTTTTGAGTTATAGACTCAG